CAGCTTGGTGGTGCCTGCCCTGCAATTTGGAAATTGCACAAGGGTAATCTGTAGAAGAAAGCTGCCACCTGGGGTGAGATTTGGGTGCTTAGAGATCAACCCCCCCACACCCCCCATGACTAGGTCTCTGCTGCCCCGAAGAAGGAAAACTCTAGATCAGTGGTGGCTAACCTTCTTGGGCTCCTGTGCTGAAAATTGTGCACGCATTTGCGCGTGCGCGCTTGGGTGCCAGCACCCAGAAGGCAATGTGCGCACGGCCACCTCCACGCCCCCTGTGCATGTGCGCACAATCCCCCCCTGCCATCCCGTTACCTGCATTGCGCGCCTCCCAGCTGAATTTGGGCCACTTTGAGGCCTTTTTCTGCCTCCCAGAGAGGCCTTTGGAGGCCAAAAAAATGGGCCCATTTCATCACTTCCGGTATTTCCGGAAATACCGGAAGTGATGAAACGGGCCTGTTTTTCTGGCCTGCAAAGGCTGCAGAGGCTTCCCTTGAGCCTCTGGGAGGCCGAAAAAGGCCTCAGCTGGGCCAAAAATCATCTGGGAAATGCGCACATGCGCAGTGCAGGTAAGTTTGGCTAGGGCTCATGTGCCCTCACAAATGGCTCTGCGTGCCATAGGTTTGCCATCATGGCTCTAGATTCCCCAAGGGTATAGAAAGAACCAAACTGCATTGTCCAACCAGCCAAGAAAAAATTAGGGCAACGGGTTAGTTAGTTAGTTGCAGGTAGTCCTTGACTTACAACAGTTTGTTTAGTGACCGCACAAAGTTACAACGGCATGGAAAAAAGGTACCCTTTTTTAGTACCCTTTTTCGCACTTAAGGCCATTGCAAGTCACGTGATCAAAATGTGGACCTTGCCAACCGGTTCACATTTATGATGGTTGCAGTGTCCTGGGATCACGTGGTCCCCTTTTACGACCTTCCGATGAGCAGTGGGGGAGTCAGATTCACTTAACAACCTAACTTGATAACCTGCCTTGATTCACTTAAGCAACTGTGGCAAGAAAGGCTGTAAAACGGGGCAGAACTTACTTAGGAAATATCTCAATTAGCAACAGAAATGTCGGGTTCAATAATTGTGTTCGTAAGGTTGAGGACTACCATTATTTAGTTAATTGGTTAATTAGTTAATTAGTTAGTTTAAATACTGTCCATCTGGTTGTCAGGCCACTCTAGGCATCTTATAAGATTAAAAACAATATATGTCCGGCACGAACAACCAGGCCCACCTGTGTAGATTCAAACTAGCTGCTTTATTTTATTTGTATTTAGTTTTTTCTAATTTTTTTTTAATTTTTTAACAACAAACATAAACACAAAACACAAAACCTTCTTTCCAACCTTCTAGATACTTTATTGTTCTCTGCCTATAATACAAGAATCTTCCCAGCTTTTGCCTGGGAAAAAGCGAAATATAAGGCTCCAAGGCATTCGGAGATCCCCTCCAGCGTAGCTGGCTGAGGAAATCTGGGATTTGAAGTCCACAGGCCTTATTCTAGCTTGGATACCCTGCCTTAAGCTAAGAACCAAATCCCTTTTACAGTTTAGCACAGGGTCCTCAGAAATGGTGTAGGGTCTCCTGCTTGGGCGATGGGGGTTGGACTAGATGACCCACAAGGTCCCTTCCAACTCTGTTCATCTGTATCTCGCCTGACTAATGGTGGGAAGGAGTGGAAGGAGTCCCAGAGACCACAGATCTCTGAAGGGACTCTCAAAATTTGTTTAGGATCAGAAAATCATTTCAAAATCAAGACAAGGCTGAGATCAGCATTGCGCATGTTCAGTTTTCCAGAATTGTTATAGTAAGCTGAAAGTTCCCAACCTTTTTCCTCACCACAGGCCTCCTTTACATACTTTTTGTAGCCACGGACCCCTCTGAGACTTATCTCAAGATTTAAATCATAACCTTTTTGGTATCGCGCCTCCCTTCCCTAAGTGTCCATGGACCACAGTTGGCGACACACTGAGCTAGACCAAGGACTGCCCTTTTCTTGGGCACGCCAAACATTTCTAGATGGAGGCATTTGCACAGACGGTTTGATAAGGAGCAAATCTGTGCAAATCTTCCAACGGCGCAGAGCGGGGAGATTCGTTTATCCGCCCCGTGAACAGGCACACTTTTCCACCCCTCGTGGATGAATTCCACCCATGAGAAGATTTATCTCTGGCTTGTTTTTCTTCTTACCTTGATTCTCCCTATAAAACCCACCGCTAATAATAAGAGTTTTGGCTTTTTTTTCCTTCTTCGATGCTTGCTATACACACCTGTATTTTGCATGCTCTCTTTGTATGCCTCTTGTCGCCAGGCTGGTGCAGGCTCTGTTGCTTTGGGGGCTTTGTTGGTTGAAATAAAAGTCACCTCTAAATTCAGCTGGGTGGTCCTTGTTCATTTAGTCTGAAGAGGACAACGGACGGAGTCTCGGGTCACGGAGCAACCTCAGTGGGAGACAAATTAGAATTAGAATTCTTTTATGGGCCAAGTGTGGAATTTGTCTTGGGGCATGTCTGTCTTGCACCCAGAACCCGGCTTGTACACCCCTCCACGTGCAAGGAAAGTGAGAGAAAAATTCCTTTGATTTAAAGGACGAAAAAACCCTCCCGAAATCAAAACATTTGAATTGGGAGGGAGATTCGATGTTAGTTAACATACTCATTGGTCTCTTTTATTTCCTTGATCCTCTGTGTTGTGTGATGGGTTGTACAAATAGCCCTCGGCCTATTTTCATTTAGTGACCATTCAAAGGTACGACGTCACTGAAAAAAAGTGACTTAAGGCTGTTTTTCACACTTGCGACCACCGCAGCATCCCAATGGGTCACGTTGGATCAAAATTCAGGCACTCGGCAATGGACTTGTATTTATGACGGTTGCAGTGCCCCGGGGTCACGTAATTCCCTGTTCCCACACCATCGCCAGCTGCTCTTCTGGTTTCTGGTCAGCCAGCTGGTCTTCGCAGGCGCTGGAGCGCTGGAAAAAGGCCCCCCAAATGACCCCAAAAACCAGGCCATTTTCAGGCTCTTTTGAGACCGTTTTCTGGCACAGAAAACAGCCTGAAAATGGCCCAAAAAACAGGCTGTTTCCCAGGCTGTTTCAGGCCATTTTCCAGGCTGTTTTTGGTGTGAATATGTCCCAAAAACGGCCCCTAAAATGGCAAAAAACCCACAAAAAATGCAGATATTCGTGCACTGGCCAGCTGGTCTTCGGCCTTCCAGCGCTCTGTCATGCGCCCATGCACATGTATACATGAACGTCCCAGTTTGGGCACTGTGTGCCGTAAAGGTCTCCATCACTGGGCTAAGAGAAGAGCACAGCTGGCCCCAGAGTCTCCCAGGAAGCTTTGGTGACTGAGGGAGGGGCAGGACCTCTGGGGGTCGGGGAGGGTGGGCTGCTCTCCCCAGCCTCCTCAAAGGGAAGCTCCCTTCCCCTTTCGCGTCCCAGGAGAACAAGGAAGGGTCTTGCGGTCGAGTCTGTGGAGAGTCTCCATCATCCAGGTCACGGTTATCCCAAAAGTGCTTTTTGAAGAGGCAACTGGGCTTTTCATTGTTTTGCCCCAAAGAGGTTTCGCTTCTCATCCAAGAAGCTTCATCCGTTCTTCAGTTAGGATTTTCCCAAGGGAAAGCCAAAGGGGGCGTTAAGCGCCCAGACATAGAAAGAGTGATATAAATGACCCCACAGAAAAGGCTGCCAGGATTTGAACTACCACATCAGCCGTGGACAATCCTGAGTAGCATTCGCACCTCACGCGGACTCGGATGGGACTCTCTGTGTAAACGGCGCAGTGAGTGTGACGGCGGGCTCCCATCTCAAACTGTAGATCATATAGTGACCGGCTATAAACTGAGATCAAATACCAGTCCAGAATCTGATTGATAGATAGATAGATAGATAGATAGATAGATAGATAGATAGATAGATAGATAGATAGATAGATAGATATTTTGTTCATATAAACCATGCTGCACTTCAGTGGTTAGATGGCCTAGACCAGAGGGGTCTCCAACCTTGGCCACTTTAAGCCTTGGGGACTTCAACTCCCAGAATTCCTCAGCCAGCATAGCTTACTCTCTTGTAATCCCTGCCTCTGCACTCTCTCATCTTTGGAGAGGATAGGAGAAAAAAAAACAGAGGAATTCTGGGAGTTGAAGTACGCTAGGCTTAAAAGTTGCCAAGGTTGGAGACCCCTGGCCTACAACAGGGGTCCCCAATCTATGGGCCACGGCCCACTACTGTGGCTTAATTGCCACCAAGCCGTACGAGTAACCAGCTAGGGTGCACGCATCCACGCAAACCTCCTTGTGGCCCCTTGCGCGTAAGCGCCACTGCAAACGTTGCAGGCGCAACGACGCACACCTGTGCCTGACCCACAAAACCATCCCCTCTTTCGTCCCCCGCCCTCCTACTCTGGCCCGACAACCTGGAATATCTGGAGAACAGAAGTTGCCCTCGGAGGTTTGTGGGAGCACCATCACTTGAGACCTTCAAGAAGAGATTGGACTGCCATTTGTCAGAAATGGCGTAGGCGGGGTTGGACTAGATGACCTAGAAGGTCCCTTCCAACTCTGATTATCTGTTAACTCTGGCCTAGACATTCATATACTTGAACCTAGATCTTTCTAACGCGTTTCATTGGGTTCTATCCGTCGAGGTGAGGTGTCCGTAATATTACCTTGCTCGCCCACGTACGCTGGATGGATAAATAACCTGGGCAACTCTGAAAGACCAGAGAATCGTTTTACGAGCCCTGACGTAACCGAGAAAACCCCGTTGCTTTTTGCCAACGCACCTTTGGGACGCCCTGCATTCATTCCTTCGGCGCCCCCCTCAGCCAGCATCCCCCCATCCCGTCATCTTCCTTCCCTCACGCTCACCCTGTCCAAATTTAATTTCGCTTCCCTTTTTCCTATCCATTTTTCATCGTCATCCTGTCGTTTTTTTTTCCCCTCCCCACCCCTTTTGTGCGTGTGTCGTGTGCGTGTGTCTTTCTCTCCCCCTCTGTAGGAGCGACTGTGTTTGCCTCTGCATATTTTAGAAGAGAAAGGGTTGGCGCAGGTGGCAGAGACTGTCCAGGCCCTCCTGGAATGGGCCCCCCCAAAACAACAGCACCACCTGGGCGCGGCCTAAGGAGCCCCCCCCCCCCCCCCCCCCCCCGAGAACCACCTCTTGCCCGGGGCTGACGGAAGGAGGCGCGTGCAGCCACCTCTCCAAGCACAGACCGTCCGTCGTGTTCGAAGAGCGACCGCCGAAGCCCGAACTCCTGGTGGGAATCCTTTTGCCTTTTCGTTTCTCCGCATCGGACTTTTGCAATTTGGAAAGTGGTGTTTTTTTTTCGCCCCCCCCTTGGGGCGGAGGGAACGGGGTGAAAAACTCCAGGAGCCCCTCGGCTTCCTATTGAAATCTCCTCCTCGGGGAAATCAATCGGGGCAGGGGAGAAAAAGGAAGGAGAGCTTTGTAAACCCCGCCTCTATAAAAAATGTGAGTTTCCTGGTAGGTTTAACATGGAGAGGGGTGGGGGGGAAAAAATCCCTTATTTTTTATTTTTTATTTTATTTTTGCACTTCTGCTCTGAACAATCCCGCAGACAAGACCGGCTCCCGAAGGATCCCAGCGATGATGGTCCTTAGCCAGTCCTGAATCCTCTTCTTTTTCCTTCTTTTCCATCGTCGTCGCTTCCCACTGAGATGTTTCTTGCACGATCTTGTTTTTTTTTTTTAAATACGCATTCGTGGGTTTCCAAGACGTGCAAGAAATTCAGCACGATTTGATCCAAAAAATCAGCAAGTCGGATGCCTGAATCGGAGAGAGCCTGGTACGACTTTAATCTCACCCCTCAAATGTTGTTGTTGGTTTTTTTTTTATTCTAGCAGCACGAAGGAGCTGAAATTTGAGCAATAAATGTATCAATGATGCCTGTTAAATGAAGAAGAATGGGGCACAGCTAGATGCCCTTCTGGGTGCTTCAAAGAGCAGCTTTTGTTTTCATGCAACTGACCCAATCTAGCTTTTGTTGCTTTCTTCCTCCTGTTCACCTACCTAGTTTTCTTAATGAGCGTTTATAAAATGTGAGATTGCAAACCACTTTAAGCACTTATTTGGAGAGGGCAACTGGGAAGAGCTCTTTAAGTGAACCAGGCACAGTTTGAACCCGGTTGGAAAAGCGGCTGCCACACCTTGAATCTGCCCGGACCGTAATTCTGCCCACGTGGAGAAAAGACAAACCTGAATAAAATTTGCAAGTTTTTTCAGAACGAACGAACGGCGAGCCTCTGCCCGTTGGTGAGAATCGCAGGCTGGATCTCTCCAACCGGGACCCTCTTCAAAGAGATCCTCCGTCTTGATTTTTTTTTCCCCGTATGGTTTCCACGCTTGCGGACAATCCCAGTTAAAACCACTTCTTGGGTTGAGAGTGGAAAAGTGTGCGCTCCGGTGTATGGATAGGATTGGGGCAGCCCTGTTGTGCCGTAGAGCAAGCGTATCCAACCTTGACTTGTGGACTTCAACTCCCAGAATTTATCAGCCAGCAGAGCTTATTCTCTTGGGATCCCTTCCTCTGCAATCTCTCTCTCCACTTTAGGAGGTTCAGAGAAAAAAGAAACAGTCTCAGCCGGCTGGGGAATTCTGGGAGTTGGAAGTCCACAAGTCTTAAAAAGTGACCCAAGGTTGGACATCCCTGCCGTTGAGGAAACCTGTGTGATTCCCTAAAGGAAACCGGAATGTTTAAGGTGCCAGGAAAAGAGTGTGCAATTGAAGGGAGTTTGTAGCCATTCGATTCCTGATTTAAGTAGCAGGAGGTGCATCGGCTGGGAAGTCAAAATTTCAGTTGGCCGATTCAGCTGCCGGGGGCGGGGGGGGAATGAAGTCCCCGTTCTCCGTTGTTGCAGGGCCGGAGAACTTTCGAAAAAGAAAGAAAAATGCTTTGCATGTGAATGAGGTGTGTATCTCGGACTCCTAAGTGAACCCAAAGGTAGCGAAGGTCGCTCGTGACAGATGTGCAGTGTGGAAGAGGTAAGACAAAGGAGGTTTGGCTGGAAGAGATTTGGAAATTGAGCCACAGCACCATAACTGGGTTTGGTTTTTTTCCTACTTAGTTATTTCCGATCAACCCTGTTTGTTTTCCAGCACCTGTTTGCTTCTCCGAGCTACAAACAGGCAGCGTTCCCAGGGCTTCCCTATTTCTTTCCTTCCTGCCCTTTTCTTTCTCTGCCTCCATCGCTCTTTTATTTTGGTGTTCGTCTCTTTTTCGGCGTGGCCAAAGGGACCTTTTTGAAGGGACACAACGCCACGTTTCCAAAGTCTTCAATTTGTAGGATTGAGTTTCCGGAGTTAAATCTACACTCTCCTAGTTTGTCTGCTTACAAGTTCTCTGCTGTGTTTGTTTTACCCAGAGGTCTCCAAACTTGGCAACTTTTAAGACCCGTGGACTTCACTTCCCAGAATTCTCCAGCCAGCTGTGTCTTAAAAGTTGCTAAATTTGGGAGCTCCTGGTTTTTACCGATCGGCGGTTCTTGGGCTATACTCGCACCCGGCTAGGTTGAGAAACGGAGAAATCTCGTCAGTGCGGGAACTCTCTGTGTGAAAATTCTCATTTTTTTTTTTTTTTACGCCCAGGCTCTTGCACTAGTGTAAGTTTGGAGCCTTTGAAATCCTAAACTCTTTCTTTGAGGTGCGCACGATGACGTCTTTTGAATTAGAAGCGACTTGTTTCCAGAGTCAACTGAGCTAGTTCAGGGTCCCTGGGCAGAATCTCGAGTCCAAGATAACCCTGTTCTTGAGGTCAGAACACTATTTCAAGCCTCGAGCGCTTCCAAACTGTTAAAAATGAACATTTGGGGCAAAGTTGGAGTGAAAACGGTTTGCTTGGGGGAGTCTGGTCTTTGCGTAGGGCACTGTTGTCAACCTTGGCAACTTTTAAGATGGGTGGACTTCAACTCCCAGGATTCCCCAGCCAGCATAGCTTTCTCTCTTGGAATCCCTTCCTCTGCAATCTCTCTCCACTTTAGGGGAGTAAGAGAAAAAGAAACAGGAATTGGCTGGCTAGGGAATTCTGGGAGTTGAAGTCCACAAAGTCTTAAAGTGGCCAAGTTTGGAGAGCTCTGCCTTAACCATTAGACTAAAGACTTTGTGGACTTCAATTCCCAGAATCCCCCAGTCAGCACAGCTTCCTCTCTTGGAATCCCTTCCTCTGCAATCTCTCTCTCCACTTTAGGAGGTTAAAGAGAAAAAGAAACAGATACGACTGGCTGGCTGGCTGGCTGGGGAATTCTGGGAACTGAAGTCCGCCCGCCTTAACGTCGCCACGGTAGCATAACACTTGAATTGTGTGCCTTCGCTTGGAAAAAGTATTCCTCGCGGGCTCGGTTGTGTGGGTCGACTTTGGTGTCAACACAGAGACGAAAGAAACGTGCGCGCAACAGGGGTTGCCCGCCTCGTTGCAAAAGATGCTCACGGCGGCGCTTGCCCATTGGAGCCATGTTCAAGGGCCCAAAAGGGAACACGGGAAAAACCCGCCACTGACGTGGGTGGGGGGACAGGGGGTACCCTTTGTAGGATGCTTTGCTGGCCTCTGGTGCAGGAACCATAGGAGACATTCTTCAGGGGCAGCTCAGCCCAGGCCCCCAAAAAGGCACAAAAATCCGTCCCTCTTACCACCACCACCCTCAGCCCAAAGCAGCACCGGTGTGATAACCGCCTGCCGCATGGGCTTTGTTTCTGGGTTCAGAAGGGTTCAAAAACCCCTTCTCGTCTATTCAGCCAACACGGTTTGGGTTGTCGTTGCACCCAAAGAAAAGAGAGAGAGAGAAAAAAAAAGACAGCCTCCACCCCCTTTTTCTGTTTTGTTTTTAATTTCAGGTTTGAAACGGCTTGGAGATTTTGTGTTTTGCTCTATTTACGTGCAATTTTTTCTTCTTCTTCTTAATCGTTGATGAAAACCCCCCCAAAAAAGTGTGTTAAAACGGTTGGTAGAAGCAACTGCAGATGACGGTCTTATAATGAAGATATAACAGTTGTGTGTGGGGGGGGTCCCTCCTGGCTCAGCAAACACCCCCCAGCATTTTCTGTTACATTAGTTCAATGCTAGGATTTTTTTTTGTATCAAGGAACTGCACATTTTTGCAACTGACATTCGCAGCCTGTCTTTTCACTGGCCGAGAGCTTCCCTGCTCATTCTCCTGTGTTTGAATTCCCTTTCTTACCACCTGACGTTTACCTGGCCACATTATTCCCCCATTACCAGGGATTGAGTTGGCCAGAAACAAAGGAATCAGCCTGGCATTCTCGTGTGTTGTGTGAAGGCCCATTGTGTGTCGATCGATCATTGCTCATCCAGGCCATCCTCATTCCCCGTCTCCTGGGTCAAACGTCAAGTTAGCTCCGTGGAAAGCAGAACCACAATTTGTTTTTTATTTTATTTTTTTTCCGGATCAGATCTGAGGATAGATAGCTGCTTAACCATCTCTGCCTCTCCCAAGCATTGCAGAGAAAAGAAATTGCTTTATTCCTTCGTTGGGTTGGAGAAAGTTACTGCTGCTACTAACCCCAGCTCATGGAGCAAGCACGGTCTCCCAAGAGTAGGATATTAGCACGGAGCAATCCCGAAGTTCCCCTACAATGAGCCGAAGGTTCGTACTTTGCAAAATGAACTCGGTTGCGTGACGTTCACAGCAGTTTGATTCCTAAGAAAATTGGAGAATCTTTCCACGTTCCTTCTCTCGTAACGGGTGTTACGTCTTGAGGAAATTAAAGAGTTTCTTGTTAAAAAAATGGATGTTCTCAGTAGAACTGTTGAAAAAAATTGAGGTTTTTTTTCCACCCCAGGGCCCTACAACTCGCCTTTTTTCTAGGCCGGAAGATCAGGGCTTCCGGTGTAATTTGGCTTTTCCCCAGTTTAGTGCTGAGGCGGATGAGTTGGACCACAAAGACCTTAATCCCCCACCAGTTGCTGGCTCAGAATTAAGGGAATTGGTGGTCTGTCCCATCTGGAGGGTGCCGTGCTGGGGAAAAGCCAGTGTAAGTAGTAGCGTAGCCAAAAAAAAAAATTTTTTTTTTTAAATATTTCCTATATTTGTATGTCTGTAAATACATTCGATGGAGGACTATCAAATATAAATGTCATAATATCATGGGTTTTATTTTCAATTGCCTGTATATGTTACCAGTCCATTTCTAGCACACCTGATATAATAAACTCCAAACCTGGGTGATTTGAAATAATAAATAAATAAAAAAAATAAGCTTTAAAATCTGCCTCCGAAAACAGAAGTGTTTATTCCGAAGCGGGTTTATTCGGTCTCTCGTATTTGGGCTTCTATCACGACTTGGAATTGGTTTTGCTGTCACTAAAAGGGCTTTGCACGATAATTTTTACAATAAAGTTGAAATTCTTCTCATCCAGCGCTCATCGTTTCAAGGGGATTTTCCAAGAAATCTTAAGTTTTATAGTAAAGAGACAGCCACGTAACTTCACTGGCTGTCTCCACAAATATCCAGGTTTCTAAAAGCCGTGGGAAATCAGGAGTTAACATCCTATGGACAAAGGGAAGCGATGGGCTTAATTTTCCATTTTATGGTGGCCAAAGAGCGCCTGTGCTTATTTGCTAGAGGTGGTAGTTAGTTCCTACACTGAGGAAGCTTCGAAATTCCTTCCAATTCTCACTCTATAAACACTAGGACTGCAGCTTCTACTCTTTAATGGAAGAGAATTAAATACAGGTAGCCTGACTCACAACAGTCCCTTTAGCGACCGTTCAAAGTTACAAGAAACTGGAAAAAAGTGACTTGCGATGATTTTTCACAATCACTGCAGCATCTCTATGGTCACCTGATCCAAATTCAGACTTTGGGCGACTGGCGTGTACTTATGACAGTTGCAGTGTCCCAGGTCACGTGATTACGACCTTCTGACAATTTAGCTTACTTTGATTGTCAATGTACCTCGTCCAACGAAATTAAATGCCATCTTCAGTGACAAGCAACCTCAGTGGGGAATCCAGATTCATTTAAGGACCACGTTTCTAACCCAACGACTGCAGGGATTCACTAAAGAAACTGTGGCAAGAAATGTCGTAAAACGAAGCGAAACTTATTAGCCACTTCCTCGCTGAGCAACAGAAATCTCTGGGCTTCATTGTGGTCATAAGTAGAGGATTAGCTGTATGTTCTGAGGGATGGTTTCCTATCGACGTTTCCAAAATTGTGAAAATCGGCGAGCATCAAGCTTTGCAGGTATGTGTTCCCCCGTGCAATTTCATTGAACTCTGTGAGACAAAATAACCCCACAATAATTGCACCCTCCTTTAGAATAACCAGTTTAAGGTCTGGGCATCCTCTTGGACTTATTAGTTCCCCTTTTTCCTTTAATTAATATATATATATATTTATGAAATATATTTTTAATTATATTATTATAGACATACACACACACACGGTATTCAGGTTTCTTTGGGTATTTCCCCACGTCTTTATAGTTGTGCTTTTAAAGTTGTCGCGACGCTTCAGCAGAATCTCATCTGCCATCATCAGGCTCGTGGGTTGGGCTTGCCTTCCTCATCAAAGACAAACCCAACCCACGAGCCTGATGATGGCAGATGAGATTCTGCTGAAGCGTCGCGACAACTTTAAAAGCACCAGCCTGAGGATGGCGAGTGGGACCTCACCGAAACGTCGCCAAGATACTCTTAATCTTACACAGGAAAAGACCCGAACACACCTAGACCTACATACCTGTACCCGTTAAAATCTATGAAATATATAAACATATACCCTGTTTCTCCAACAATACGGCCTCCCCCAATAGGAAGTCCCAGCATGTTTTATAGGCATGAAATGAAATTAAGCCCCTCCCCCCAAAATTAAGGCCTGTATTAAAACATGCGAAATGGGGGGGAATGGGGGGGGGCTTGCCGTTAGGAAGTACTTTTGTTGCACACCGGGATATGGTGCTGCCTGCGTTGACCCCGATACGAAGTGCCCCACCAACGCCGAGGTCAACCTCCAAGCTGTCATTGCCCACCCGAAGATGCAAGGGGAGGGCGGAATTAAGTCACCCCCGAAAAGACGGCCTAGCCATTTTTTCGGGGCTCCCCCCCCAAAAATAAGACCCAGCCTTATTATATGAGAAACACGGTGTGTGTGTGTGTGTGTGTGTGTGTGTGTATGTATGTATGTATGTTTTCACAGGTATTTATATGTATGGTATATATATATGTATGTATGTATATGTATTTGTTTTCTGAGGTTCTCGCGGGTATTTGTATGTGGATCTTTGGTTATTCGGGTTTTCTCCCGCGTAAGATTGGAAGTATTTAGGCAACGTTTCGATGAAGTCTCATTCATCATCTTCAGGCTTGCATCTTTCGCCTTGTGCTTCTCAGAGTAAGCTGCAAGCTCACATTACTCTGAGAAGCACAGAGCCGAAGACACAAGTCTGAAGATGATGAATGAGACTTCATCGAAACGTTGCCTAAATACTTCCAATCTTACGCGGGAGAAAACCCGAATAACCAAAGATCCACATACAAATACCCGCGAGAACCTCAGAAAACGTGTGTGTGTGTGTGTGTGTGTGTGTGTGTGTGTGTAAAAGACACTGGCTTTCGATACCCAAGGATCAGTCGTCCCCAAATGAGAGAGGCAAGTGCTCGAAGAAAGAATACGTCTAATTATTCTAATTATTCCAAATCCTCTGGGCCAATACAAGGTGCACCCACGCTGGATGTGAGAAGGGCAGGACAGGCTCCTCCGTCACTTCTTCCTCCTTGGCCCGGCTTTCCCTTTCTTCCCTTTCTCCTTGGTGACCGGCTCTTCCTCCAGCATTTTCTTGAGGTTTCTGTAAGGACCGAGGAATCTACGGACCATCATGCCTCTCCACCACGACTGCAGCTGAAAGGAAAAGACGGGCATGGGAAAAATTGGATTCCCCCTCCCCTCCCGGCAACGAGGCCCAGCCTGGCACAAGCGGACTCCTTCAACCGACACGGGTGCAAAAGCCCAGCCCTCTGCCCGGTTGGCGTCCGGCATTGGGCTAGCCAACGGCCTGCTGCAAGGAAGCCCCAAGCTCGGGGCTCACATCGGGACCGGTTATTCGAAGGTCCATCTTCTCCACTTACATCTACCCAACCCAGGGCTGGGATGCTACCGGTTCGGCCCGGTTTCATAGAGCCGGTAGCTCTGAAGAACAGCAGGCACAGAACCGGTCGGCCGGGCTCTCGGCTGTCCTTCATTACCCCACTTTTTTCAACCTCGGCCGCTTTGCGTGGCGCAGCTGAGGGTGAAAAAGCCGGAGAAAAGAGGCTTTTCGAACGCTGCGCACCTGCGTGCAGCACTTTTCGGGCTGTCCGGGTAGCGCAGCCTCAGGTGATTTTTTACACGCGTGCGCAAACGTAACCACCGAACCGTTAGTAACGCTGATTGAATTCCACCCCTGACCCAGCCTCCTAGAGAAGGGAGGCAGGGGATGTTAGGGCTCCTCTCTCTTAAGGGGCTCCATCTGGGGGGACCAAGAAGCAGGGCCTTCTCCGTGGTGGCTCCCTCCCTGTTATTTGAAGGTCCACCTTCTCCGCTTACATCTACCCAACCCACTAGAGAAGGGGGTTCTGGGCGAGGCTTCCCCAAATCACGAGGCAGACTCCTCGTCCCTTTTGATTTAGGCTAATGTGAATTCCTCTCGTTCACCTCCAGCAAAGTCCCGGCAAACAGTCTTTCAAGGGTGAATTTACAACCACAGACCTCATCGGGCTGGGAGAGCTGCCAGGCCGATAGCTTCCAAACGCCACGCTATACCAGCAAATTCTCGGCAAGAAGTCTCTTGAGAGTGCACGAACAAAATCTTCACACTAATTAAACGAACTAATTGTCTCCTGCAAACCCCACTCCCCTTTCGCTCCTCTTTTATTCTCTCTGGGAGGGGCCATTCACCATCAACCTGAGCCTTTACTTCTGAGTTAACCCTAGTTCCTTAATTGTTCTCTTCTCCTGGCAGCTCTGTGCCTGCACACACTGGGAACAGGCTCCAACTGCTCTTCTTCCCCACTGATCTCCGACCCCGGAGGCAGTTAATAACTGTCTGAGGGCCCTGGTCCCATCTCTGCCTCCGACGCAGAGCCCTCGTCCGAGCCTTCCCCAGACTCCAGGACTGGCCCAGGTTCCTCCCCAACCTCCTCACTGTCTGAGTCTGCTGGCCATTGGTGAGCCATAACAAAGGGAGGCAGGGATATTGGGGTTCCTCTTAAGGAGGTCCATCTGGTGGGGCCAAGTAAAAGGACCTTCTTGGTGATGGCTCCCTCCCTTTATTTCACAGTCCATCTGTTCCACTTACATCTCCTCAACCCACCAGAGAAGGGAGGGAGAGTATGCTATAGGTTCTCTCTCTCTTAAGGTCCATCTGGTGGGACCAAGAAGAAGGGCCTTCTCCGTGGTGGCTCCTACCCTGTGGAACATCATCCCTGCAGAGATAAATTGGCGCTCACTTTTGACAGTCTTTTGAAAGGCCCTGGTTCTACCAGTGGGCTTGGGGACCCCAGGGTGGTAGGACGCTCAATAAGGGGTTGGTTTGGTAGTTGCTGCCAGGGAAGTCCACAAGTTGTTCCCCACCAGTCATGCCCTTGTTAGAGTCTGATTCTGAGGGGGAGATTGAGTAGCTGACAGGAAGTGGGAGGGTGGCTCCAGTGGCTGTGGAGGAAACTGGGGAAGGGCAAAGTCCGGCTGGGCCTTCAGAGAAAGATCCAGGCTCACCCCCTCTTCATCCTAGGGCACGCAGGGAGGAACGGAGAAGGGAGCAACATGGCTTATGGGGGAGAAAAGGGCCCTGATCCTTTTCATTAGTTGCAGCTGGGAGAACAGGATATAAGAGGAGTGTTTGCTGGAAGCAAAGCGTGCTTTATCTTGGTCGAGCCTTATCTGAGTTTTGGCTTCCTCCCAACTGTGGGTGGTGCGTTATTCTGCAATTTATCATCCTGGCCTGTTGTGTTAATTACTTCAGTGTGGTTTGTGTTGTTGTTTTTTTATTTCTAACGATCTGTACTTTGGGCTCGGACTGCATTTCTGCCCTTCGTAGACTGTTTTTGGAAGAGTTTGCTTATCCAGCTGAGGAGAATTGGACATCGGGGGCCACGTCGGAGGCGTTAAAGGGAATTTATTCTACTTTTGTGACTTTGTTAATTTTGTGTCACGCTCCGGGTCATCACACCACCCCTATTGCAGCCCTTCCAGACCAAAGCAGCCTCTTACCTTCAAGATGCTCTTCATCTCCAGGGCATCTTGCTCGACCTTTTTCCTCGCATTCTCTTTCTCCTTCCGGTCCTCAATGATCGCTTGCTCGCACGCCCGGCACTGCAGAAAGCAAGTGGAGACATGGGCTTTGGAGTCTCTTGGGGGAAACGGAAGCTTCCTATCTGAATTCACTCGTCTTCTCTTACTCCTTTGCTCCCGTGTCTCCAGCGGGGTGGGGCTGGCCTAGGAAGGATGGGTCTTTTTCTCTCCCCAGTTTGAAAACATGGTTGGAGTTTTTTTTTCATTGGGGCGTGATGATTGACCCAAAGATACCTACCTACAGTAGCTAGCTTCTATGCCTAAGGCGGGACTAGAACTCACCGTCTCCTGGTGATCAGTCCAAAGTGCCCCAGTTTGCTTTCATGTCTAAGGCAGGACTAGAACTTACTCTCTCCTAGTGACTCACACAAGATCCATCAGCCAGCTTTCATGTCTTAAGGCGGAACTAGAATACACAGTCTCCTGGTGACTGGTCCAAAGTCACTTGGCCAGCTTCCATGCCTAAGGTGGAACTAGAACTCACTGTCTCCTGGTGATTGGCTCAAGATTACCCAGACAGCTTTCATGTCTTAAGGCGGAACTAGAACTCACAGTCTCCTGATGATTGGTCCAAAGTGCCCCAGTTAGGTTTTATGCCTAAGGCGGGACTAGAACTTACTCTCTCCTAGTGACTCACGCAAGATCCATCAGCCAGCTTTCATGTCTTAAGGTGGAACTAGAACTCACAGTCTCCTGGTGATTGGTCCAAAGTCACTTGGCCAGCTTCCATGCCTAAGATAAAACTAGAACTTACTCTCTCCTGGTGATTGGCCCAAGATAACTCAACCAGCTTCCATGCCTAAGGTGGAACTAGAACTTACTCTCTCCTGGTGATTGGCCCAAGATAACTCAACCAGCTTCCATGCCTAAGGTGGAACTAGAACTTGCCGTCTCCTGGTTATTGGTCCAAAGTCACCCAGCTGTCCTTCGTGCCTAAGGCGTGACTAGAACTCCCTGTCTCCTGGTGATCGGCCCAAAGCCACCCAGCCAACTTTGGTGTCTTAAAGTGGCATTAGAACTCACATCCTCTTGGTTTCCTAAGCCAGCACCTTAACCACTACACCAAACCCAGATGTGCCACGGCCATTAAGAAAAAACCCTGATCCGGCCATTATGGCCACCATCTTTTCATCCCACCCTGTAGATGTCCCCGAGCCTCCCCACCCGCCGCCCTTCTCTGCGGAGACACCGGCAGCTGCTCTGCCCCCGAGAAGACGTTCCTTGTCGCCCACCCTTCCTACCTGCTTGGCCAGTTCCATCAGAGCGGCCTGGTCTGCCGCTCTGGAGGACTTCAGGTTGTTGAGGGCCTGCTGCTTGGCCTCAGTTTCCTTCTCGTACTTCTCCATCCAGTATTCCAGCTTCTCTTCTATGCTCTGTTTGTGAGAGGCAAGTGGCCGCTTAGCACGTTTTTAAGGCAGGCGGACTTCGATTCCCAGAATTCCCTGGGTCGCATGGCTGGCTGGGGAATTCTGGGAATGGAAGTCCTATTATTATTATTATTATTATTTTGCAAAACCCCAAACTTGAACCCAGTTGAGTGTCCCTATCAACTTCCTTCACAAAAGCTGCTTTTTGAGTTGCACACACACACACACACACACACACACACGCACACTTCCCATCTCCCACACTCCAAATTGCTAACATCTCAACCCCACGTTTTCTACTACAGCAGAGGTCTCCAAACTTGGCTACTTGAAGACGGGTGGACTTCAACTCCCAGAATTCCCCAGCCAGCTATGCTTAATCTCTTGCGATCCCTTCCTCTGCAATCTCTCCATTTTAATTGAGTTCTTTTCCATTCTGGAAGTCCGGCAGTCTTAAAGTGGCCACGTTTGGGGACCCCTGGACTACAGGTAGTCCTCGACTTAACAACAGTTCCTTTAGCGACGGTTCAAAGTTATACAGCGGCCGTGAAAAAAAAAAAAAAAGACTTGGGACCGTCTTTCGCACTTAATGACTGCGGCAGCATTCCCACGGTCACACGATTAAAATTCAGGGCGCTTGGCAACCAACTCATAGTTATGACGGTTGACATGTCACACACACACACACCCACCCCAAGGTCACGCAATCCCTTTTGGCAACCTGACAAGTCAAAGGCGCTGGGGCGGTGGTGGCTAACCTTTTGGGGCTCCTGTGCCAAAACTTATGCATGCACAACATGCGCGACAGCACCCCGAAGGCAATGCGCATGCCCCCGCACACCCACTGCGAATGCATGCGCCATCCCTCTCCACCGCCCCCTTACCTGCACTGTGCCTCACAGCTGATTTTCGGCTTGTTTGAGGCCGTTTTTTTTTGGCCTCCCAGAGGCTTGCAAAAAGCCTCTGCAGGCTTGGCAGGCCGAAAAATAGGCCCCAAATCAGCTGTGATGCGCACGCATGCGCAGTGAGGTAAGTTTCCCTGTGGCTCGCTTCGCCGGCACCTGTGGCACGCGTGCCAATGGGTTCACCCTCACGGTGCTAGGGGAAAGCGGGTTCACTTAATAACGGTGTAGTGAGCAATTTCAGAACCGCGGCGGTTCACTTAACAACCACGCGGCAAGGAAAGTCACCAAACGGGGGGGGGCCAAAAACTCGCTTCGCAAATCTCTCCCTTGACAGACATACATTTTGGGCTCCGTTGGCGGCCGTAGGTTGAGGACTACCTGTAGAAGGGTAAGGGAGAAGACACCGTCGCTCCTGAAGAACCAGGGTGGGGGTTTGATGGGGGTTGGGGGGGAAAGAGAACACCCTGGCAACAACTTTTGAGCGGGATGAGGTTAGAGTCACCACCGACCGTTTGCTGCTGCTTCAGGAAAGCCACGATTTCTATGTGGATCCGGATCTCTTGATCCATTTCGTTTCGCAGCTTCTGAAGTCGGGGAGGGAAAGAGAAGAAGCGGCGTCAAACCGTCATGCGTTCTCCGTGGGGCTGCTCCCTTTGGGGAGTGCGCGACCTCGGAAGCTGCAGCCGGGGCAGAGCGCGGCAGCGCCGATACTTTTGCGGGGGGGGCCAGGACAGCAGTCACACTCAGTCTTATATGCCGCTTTGCAGTGATTTCCGGCCCTCTCTAAGCGGTTTGCAGAGTCAGCCTCTTGCCCCTCCAACAATCTGGGTCCTCATTTTACCCACCTCGGAGGGACGGAAGGCTGAGTCAACCTCGAGCCGGTCAGGATCGAAGTCCTGGCTGTGAGGATGCAGAATGATACTGCATGGCTCGAAGGAAGAAGGAATGAAGGGAGGGAGGGAAAATGCAAGGAAGAAGAGAGGGAGGGAAGGGAGGAAGGAAGGAAAGGAGGAGGAATAGCAATAGCACTTAGACCTATATATCACTTCACGGTGCTTTTACAGCCCTCTCTAAGCAGTTTACAGAATCAGCCTCTTGCCCCCAACAATCTGGGTCCTCATTTCACCGACCTCGGACAGAGGGAAGGCTGAGTCCACCCTGAGCCAATCAGGATCAAACTGCTGGCTGTGAGCAGAGCCAGCCTGCAATATTGCATTCTAACCACTGTGCCACCACAGAAGGAAGGAAGGAAGGAAGGAAGGAAGGAAGGAAGGAAGGAAGGAAGGAAGGAAGGAAGGAAGGAAGGAAGGAATAGCAATAGTCCTTAGACTTATATGTCGCTTCACAGCCCTCTCTAAGTGGTTTACAGAGTCAGCCCCTTGCCTCCAACAATCTGGGTCCTCGTTTTAGTGACCTGGGAAAGGACAGAAGACATAGAATGTGAGCCAGAGACGGGAGAGACAAGAATTCTTCAAAGAGCCCGGAGCAAAAAAGCTGGAAGCGTTGAAAATTCACTGGTGGATAAATCCTGAATGACCCACGGCTAAGAAACTGTCAACTACAGGTTGTCCTCCACTTACAAACATTCGATTAGTGAACAAAGTTACAATGGCACTGAAAAAAGTGACTTATGACTGTCACGGCATCCATCCCAGAGCCACGAACAAAATTTGGGCACTTAGGGGGTGTCTCTCTTCCTCTCCCTCTCCCTCTCTCTCCCTCCCCCCTTCTCTCTTTCCTTCTCTCTCTTTCTCTCTCTCCCCTTGTTCTTCCTCTTTTCTGTCTCTCCTTGTCTCTCTTTCTCTACCTCCCTTTCTCCCTCTTTCCTTGTCTTTCTCTCTTTCCGTATCTTTCTTTCTCTCCCTTTCTCCCTCTTTTCTTCTCTCATCTTTTTCTTTC